AAAACTCCCAGATTCATTCATCCAGGACAAGAAATATGAGCTCTGAAGATCTGGATGGATATGACCTTATAGGGGGATTTAATTAGGATTGCCAGCCGGGCTTTTCTGACACGCTCCTCATTGTTAATAGTTTAATGGCAGGCAGGTACAACATGATCTTCTCCTGCTGGAAATAATAATCTTAGGAATTTGACTAGTACAGGTGTGAGCAGTTTAGTTCAATTTCAGTGAGAATTTAACAACATACTTTACTTGGGATGCAGGAAATTTGAAATACTAAGTAATTTTATGTTAAAGAACCAAGTGATGACACACTTGTCAATCCTGCACCTTGGTGGAGTCTTGGCACCCCTAATGAATTCGGAGTAAATGGATTCCCGTCCTCAGAGTTCTCACTGCTTGTTTGCTCTGAGACTGTCTTTCAGTCTTATGTCTGTTGTTGTTTAGTCATTAAGTTGTGTCTGACTCTTCATGAGCCCATGGACCAGAGCACGCCAGGCTCTTCTGTTGTCCACTGCCTCCCGGAGTTGGCTCAAATTCATGTTGTAGCTTAGATGACACTGTCCAGCCATCTCATCCTCTGGCGTCCCCTTCTTCTCTTGCCTTCATTCTTGCCCAACATCAGAGTCTTTTCCAGGGAGTCGTCTCTTCTTGTGAGATGGCCAGAGTATTGGAGCCTCAGCTTCAGGATCTGTCCTTCCAGGAAGCACTCAGGGTTGATTTCCTTTAGAATGTATAGGTTTGTTCTCCTTGCAGTCCAGGGACTCTCAAGAGTCTCCTCCAGCACCACAATTCAAAAGCATCAATTCTTCACCAGTCAGCCTTCTTTATGGTCCAGCTCCCATTTCCATACATCGCTACTGGAAAAATCATAGCGTTGACTATGCGGACCTTTGTCGGCAAGGTGATGTTTCTTCTTTTTAAGATGCTGTCTAGGTTTCTCATTGCTTTCCTGTCCCACATATAGATTTCTCAGGAGATAGATAAGTTGGTCAGGCACTTCCATTCCTTTAAGAGCTTGCCATAGTTTGCTATGGCCCACACAGTCAAGGGCTTTTGCATAGTCAATGAAGCAGAAGTAGATGTTTTCTGGAACTCTCTGGCTTTCTCCATAATCCAGCGCATGTTAGCAATTTGATCTCGAGTTCCTCTGCCCCTTTGAAATCCAGCTTGTACTTCTGGGAGTTCTCGGTCCACATATTGCTGAAGCCTACCTTGTAGGATTTTGAGCATAACCTTGCTTGCGTGTGAAATGAGTCTTATATCTATATGACAGCAAAGATGCCCTCCAATGATGGAGTTAGTATCTCCAAAAACATTACAGCAAATCCTGTTAACTGCACACATTTCATAGGAGATGTTCATAGTGGCAGGGACTTGGTTTTCTCACATGAAAGCACTGTAAGTAGTGATAGATTTACCGAAACAAAGTACCATAACTAGGGAACCACAAATGTAATGGTGCATTTAAAGTAAATAACCTGGTGGAGCTGAGAGAATTAGAAGGGCTGTCTTTGTAATTTTCAACACAGGACAGTTCAGGGGATTTATTAATGCTGAATGTTTTTTTTTTTTTTTTTTTTTTTCTCAGTGGATTTATTAATGCTGCATATTTTTTTTATAAAGTAATGTTTTGTAACTGAAAGAATCTGATTTCTTTCTTTCTTTCTTTCTTTCTTTCTTTCTTTCTTTCTTTCTTTCTTTCTTTCTTTCTTTCTTTCTCTTTTAGTGCTGTTGGCTAAATTACATCTGCAGGGAGAACTCAAAAGATATTTATGATGCCAGCTTCTCTCTTTTTGATTTTCAGTTATTTCCTGCTGTTCCTGCCAGGAACTCACTTTGATCGGTGCTTTTGCATAACTTGCCATGGGGCACTAATTAATAAGCAACTTCTTCAAATTCCACTTGTTGTCTGGTTTGACTTATGCAGCTGTTTGACATATTTACTATTTTTAAAGTGCAATGCATTTGCATTTCCTAATGTCCTCCAGCTTGATTGATGCTCCCCCTGCCCACCCACCCCCAAGCCTGTGCTTTCAGCTGTTATTTTTTTCTTGGTGTGTGTCATCCTTAACAGTATGATTTAGGACTGGCAAGTTGCAGATGGTCTCTTAAATTTTTTTCTGACATCTGTTATTTTTATTTTAAAATGACAAAGCTGTATTCTGCACACTGTATAATATATTCATGATATTCTGTTAGTGAAGGCTACTTCTTCCATTATGCAGAAACAGCAGGAAGGAAAATATTCACACTTTCTTCCCAGTTGTTGCTTATATCAATATAGGAGAAATGCATTTATCTTCCACTGTAAGATGAACTTGTTTCTTCAAAGGTTCATAACCTGCCCCAAGTCTAAGGGCAGTGTGTAAGTAATAAACCACTTTAACTCATAAAAAACATTTAGGATAGTCAGCATAATTTAAATAGTTTAAAATAGTTTTTCCGTGTGTCTGCTAAGCTAAACTAAAACTAAAAAAAGATATTATTGCCCCCCCTCCAAAACTTTGGTGAACAATCGCTTTTTGACTTGCCATCATATATTGACTAATGCTGCCACCAGTTAAGACCTCCAAATGGAGGAGATTCCACAATGTGATTTCTTCTCAGTATCAGGCTAATGTAAATTTCACCACTCATTTCTTTTTTTCCCCACCAAGACATGAAATGTGATGAGAAGAAACAGTGCAAGCGATATCAAAAGAAATACATTGCCATTTACTTGCTAAGTCCCTCAATCCTTCATCAGTTCTGGATGTTCTATAGCTATGCTCTCACTTTAGTGCTTCCTTGGGCCCCCATCGGCAGTTGCCTGCTCAGGCACTGTAGCAACAGGAAGATCTTCTGCATACTTTAAAACCAGAGATGGCCAAATTCAGCAGGGCCATCGACTTTCACTCTGGGCATCAGTGCTGAAAATTGCCTTTCAGTACCACAATCGTCAGCATCCTCCTGATGAGGAAGACATCTTCAGAGAAGGCACTACTGGGATAAAATCACGTGGCTCCTTCTGTTTCAGTTCCTACATTCACGATTCCCCTTTCCTTATGCTGTGGGCTTTGCTTTGCCACCAAATATGTGATGGCTGGGTCTGAGGGACTGCTTCTCCAAATGTTGAACATGTTGCAGGTTGGGACAGTGGTATTCCGAATCTCACAAAGAGAAAATGGTTTGGGGAAGCATTTCAGGTTTTGATGAACAAACAAATAGATGCTCAATGACTACAGCCTGTTTTCTGATAACCAAATGTAAAAGCATATTTAGTGCAACACTCACATACATTTGGACTGGACTCTTAAAATGTTAACATACAGTAGGCTGATGAAATATATTTTTAGTAAGCAGCCTTGCGAGATTATTCCCACTGTTATTGCCAAAGAAGAGCATGATGAGAGAGACAGAAAGTTGTTTCTGATGGTCTACACAGTAGCTATTTTCTAGTTCTGTTGTTATTGCAAGTATTAAGGGGCTTCCCATTTTTTTGCAATCATTTTCACAGGCATAGCTGTATGAGATTATTGCATCAAAAATTGTTCCCTGTATGAGCTCAACCATCTCCAGCAAGATAGTATTGTGAGAAGTACTCCTCAATTAGGAGTGCATTTTTCACACCTTTTGAGAGAATAGCGAGATTACAAGTAGAGTTACTACAGAATTGTTCCTACAAGGGAGCATAGAGACAAATTTCTTTGGAGCAAATAAGTGCTCTGACCGAACAGCCAAGATATATTTTTTTTTTGGGGGGGGGCAAAATATTTTATAACACTAGACTATTTGTCAGATGAAATTCATACCCTTAGCCGGGACCCTTGGAAAACAGTAAAGCAGATTGTTAGTCCTACCGAGTGGTGAATGTCATTTGATTCTCACCAGAACTAAGTATCCTGTGGAGACCCCAGAGCTGATGGTGAAATTCTCTGTACAGTAAGTAGACCAAGTGAGGCCATGGATCATAGCTGTCACTTAATTTGTCTAACATGAAATTTGAAAGCAAATTTAAAGTTTCCAGGTGCAGTTAGAGAACTGACACAGTTGGGTAATTTTAGACTCTGAATCTAATGGTTTTTATGACTGCCAGCTCCTTTGGATGGTATTGCTTATTGTATTGTTTATTTTAAAATGTGGTAATCATGCCCTCCTGCTGTTGCTTTTTAAGCCCTCTTTGTTCCTTCTTGGGCCCTTTCCCCAAAAATGACCTCATGGCATGATGAACTCTGTTCCAAAAGTGCCATCTACCCTGATGGCATCACTGGATGTAAGAGAAAGCAAGGCAAGAGAACTTTGAGTGCTTAGCTCTTCAGAGTATGGCTTTGAATCCTTAGGTCTAGCTTTTCATTAAGCGCAATGTGTATGTTCCCTCCCCACCACAATGGGATTTCCTCAGAAATGAGTAGCAAAGCAACTGGCCTAGCAGGTAAAACTGCCATTAACTTCTAGTCACTCATACAACAAAACATGCTAAATGCAAGATGCAGAGTTGATGAAAGTCAAATCTTTTACAGCTCGAGCAGCACCTGTTCATCTGGTCGTGTTCTGCTTGCTGTGTGTGTGTTTTATGTCCTTCCAAAGGAAAAAAGGACACTACTTTTGTACACAGACAGGGTGTATTTTGTGTAAACTGTAGGGAAAAAATAACAAAAAAAGTCTATCCTTATGGTCTTGTACTGGAAATTAAATTTCTATATCAGACTGAATAATTCTTGAGTTGCTTTGCGAATATTTTTGACTTGACTCTCACTTATAACTAGTGCTAGCACCACAGGCCGGACAAGTGATTAGTAAAAACAGTCACTGCTGGTGCTGGAGAGGGAAAGGGAGACACGAGGGCAGGAAAAATGGTGGTGCATGTACCTGTGCCGCCGCCCCCCCCCCCGTCTGCTGTCTGAATAATGGGGTCATACCAGCAGAGCCAGTTCTGTTTTCAGCTGTTTCCAATTGCTTAGATAAAAGTCTTTCTTCTTTCCAAAGGAAATTAAACGAACTGCTTTCTTTTTAATCAGAATGACATGGGAGGTCAACGAAGTCTGATAAACAAGTGGACAACATTTTTGAAAGCAAGGCTAGTTTGCTCAATTCCTGGCCCAGAGGGAGCAGATACTCATTTTGATGAACTACGTAAGTAAATTTAAACAGTAGCTGTCATCTTGCTTTTTCCTCTCTAATCCCAGATAATGTAAGGATCTACGAACTCAATTGGCTGTCTTCAAATATAGTTGCTACTGGGTACCAGGAGTAATAGTATAGAGATATACACAGTTCATTTTATAAACCTGGTCTGCTTTGTAATGCTTGTGTTTGCAAAGAAAACAGGATGATCTCGCTAAGTAGTGCTCATCTGATGACCTTCTAACTCAAGGTTGCTTTCACTATTTTCGTACCTGAGAGTCAAAATCAAAAATAGAAAATTGAGTTGGGTTTTTATGAAATACCTCTACAGGATATAAAATTATTAGTCTATAAAATATTAATTACTGTACAGACCTGTAAAATGCTAAATTCCAGACTTATTGTTCCATATATCTAGCCCTTTAGTGATATGGTTCTGGTAAGACCACACCTGCTATTTTTCAAATGATAGTATTGTTTCTACTCTTCTCTGTAGCTCACATGTGTGTGTTGTGACCAACATGGCTATTTAGATCCCGTGTATATACAGTATCTTCCAACATCTGTTCTTCCCTCTTATCTAGACATTTTCATACTAGTCTGATTTTACAAATATTTCCACCCATATGATTCTGGAAATACATTTATGCTACATGGAAATAAACCATTCCTTTTAGGAGGTCCATGTGGTCTATCAAAACTCTTTGAGAAAGAATCGCCCCATGTGAGCAATAGCAAGGATGGCAACAGCCTTACCTGTAAAGATAGCATTAGTTGTACAGAAGAACATGCTGCACAAAACAACTCTTTGTTTTCAGCTTGTATTTGGCAGTTCTGTCTCAGAGTGCAAGACCTCACGTGAGCAAGTGCTAAACTCCCTTTCTTTTTTCAAAATTGCTGCACATAAGAAATTAGCACATCCACAAAGTCTGGGCTAGACCCCTACGACTAACTTACTATGCATGGGGGCATTGTTTTCATGGCACAGGTAGTGTTAGTTGTACAGAAGAACATGCTACACAAAACAACTCTTTGTTTTCAGCTTCTATTTGGCAAAGTCTGGGCTAGACTCCTATTGCTAGCTTACTATGCATGGGGGCATTGTTTTCATGGTATGAAGAAGCATTTAAAGATGGAAGGGTCACCTTATGTTTGAAATTGCAGAGCTCAGAAACAGGTTGACCTTCTTGGTGAGACACAGCTGACACTTAGTTGGTGGGCACTGATGAGTTACCATGTGTCATACAGGCATGACTCAGTGTCAGGTAAAGAGATATTGCCATGTTAAGTCATACTGTTTACTTAGGCATCCTATGCCTTTTTCAGTACCAAGTGGTTTGGAGTTTCCTGCAATTATGAATCATGATATTCCATTGGCTACTATGGTGTTTTAGTAGGTTAAGTATTGAAGTTATAAATAGGAAGGCCAATATCTCTTGTGGTACATGATCATAGAAGGATGATTATTTTAGCATTCTTCACATTCTTGGAAATTCCTAGTTTTATGCTGGTTGTAAGATTGTGCCCAATTGTGTGCTGAATGCAAGATTATTTGCACAATCAGTTCTATGATTGATTGCACACCAGGTATGCAAGACCAGTGGAAGGCTTTCACAATTTCCAATACAGTTTAAACAAGATAATAGCTGCAGAAGGTTAAGCCCTCTATTACCTCTATAGAGAAAGACATAGCACCTTCAGGAATTTTAACTGATTTCTATGCATGTGTAGGTTCCAAGGTAGGCTTCAGCAGTATGTGGACCAAGAACTCCTAGAAGTACAAGCTGGATTTCAAAGGGGCAGAGGAAGTAGAGACCAAATTGCTAACATGTGCTGGATTATGGAGAGAGTTCCAGGGAGTTCCAGAAAAACATCGACCTCTGCTTCATTGACTATGCAAAAGCCTTTGACTGTGTGGACCACAGCAAACTATGGCAAGTCCTTAAAGAAATGGGAGTGTCTGACCACCTTATCTATCTCCTGAGAGATGCTTTTGAATTGTGGTACTGGAGGAGGCTCTTGAGAGTCCCCTGGAATGCAAGGAGAACAAACCTATCCATTCTAAAGGAAATCAACCCTGAGGGTTCAGTGGAAGGACAGATCCTGAAGCTGAGGCTCCAATACTTTGGCCATCTCTTGAGAAGAGAAGACTCCTTGGAAAAGACCTTGATGTTGGGAAAGTGTGATGGCAAGAGGAGAAGGGGACGACAGAGGATGAGATGGTTGGACAGTGTCATTGAAGCAACCAAGATGAATTTGACTCAACTCCAGGAGGCAGTGGAAGACAGGAGGGCCTGGCGTGCTCTGGTCCATGGGGTCACGAAGAGTCGGACACGACTAAACAGCAACCAGTTTTATATGCTAATTAAAAATGATTAGGTTTATTTCAGTTTATTCTGTTTTGGAGGTGTGGCTGACACAACTACCCTCTATTGAATATATGGTGAGGGGCTAAGCCTACGTTACATACAAACCAAGACGATGTGTTACCCAGAGGCATAAGACTTGTCATACAATTCCCATAGATTTCCACACTTTTCTTGGCAAAAGAAAATTGAAGGGGTAGAGTATACAAATCTGCAGCTTACTACATACTGCATTGTACGTGCAGTGACAGTCTACCTGTGTCTGTAGGTGAGGAAAGATGGACTTGTCAGTGAGATGCTCTACTAAGAGTTGCCAACTGGTAAATAGAAATGTCTGTGAATAAGTAAACTGAAACATTAAAACCATGGATTCTTTCCAAGGATTAGCTACAAGCCTTCATATTTTGGAAAAAAGATACAATAAATAAGAAAAATATGTGGAATCCTCACTTTAAAAATAGTTTGTTCTCCATTGCAGAAGATGTATTCCTACTTTCCACGCGAGATGAAAGAAATCCGATGGTGTATGGTGTCTTCACAACTAGCAGGTATATATTAGGTTTTAAGTCTGCATCTGTACACAGGCCAAAAACTGGACACCCTTAGCTGGATTATTCTACAGCACTAGGCCTCAGATTGTATTACCATCAATATTATTTTACCTTTTTGCCACATCTCTAGCAGGAAGGAGTAGGCAGAGAAGCAGTGACTTGCTCAGTGCCACCTAGTGAGATCCAGTCAGTAGGTGGCTATCATGTTGGGTTTAGAGGTTGGGGATCAAGGTTCAAATCCAGGCCTCAGCTATAAAGCACACTGTGTGGCCTTGGATAAGTCACGTTCTCCAAGCCGAATGTACCTCACAGGCATGTTTTGAAACTCAACTGCAATTCTGAGCTCCATAGGGGAAAGGCAAGATACAAATATAGCATATGGCCAACATCCAGGAACAGCACTAAATTTAGTATTTCAAATCCATTTTCTTCCTTCTGTTCTGCAAAATTTAAACAAAAGACCTTTCAGTTAGGCTTTTGGGGTTACCTAAACCAATATTGATGGACTTTGTACAATACAGAATACCAAGTGCCACCCAAGACCTTTTAAGGTGAATGGAATTTGTAATGGGAAGTGGGTTTAGTAGACTACAGTGGTGCCTTGCTTAACGACGATAATCCGTTCCAGGAAAATCGCTGTTAAGCGAAAAGATCGTAAAGCGAAATTTAAAAACCCATTGAAACATTTAAACCGTTCAATGCGTTCCAATGGGCTAAAAGCTCACTGTCCAGCGAAGATCCTCCATACGGTGGCCATTTTCAGTGCCTGTATAGTGAGGAATCCGTCCCTAAGCACAGCGGGGAGCCATTTTAAGCCCCCAGCGGCCATTTTGAAAACCCGACAATTAGCTGTTTTTGATCGTCGTAAAGCAAAAATGGGATCCCGAAGCAGGGAACCGATCATCGCTAAGTGAAATTCCCCCATTTAGACCATCGTTTTGCGATTGCAATTGTGATCGCTTAAACATTGTTGTAAAGCAGATTCGTCATAATGCAGGGTAATCGTTAAGTGGGGCATGACTGTATTTAAACCTAATATTGGTTTAAACCAGCAACTAGTATTGATAGAGGTTCTCTTTGACATACGTAAAAAGAGGTTGGGGTTGGAGGTCCCAAAGGCATCTCACAGTCATGTTGTGTCTCTGGAAATGACAGGGACAAACTAGACATTAAGGAAAATGCATATTCTCTGCAACTGAAATATTTTCCTTCAACAGTGGGATTTCTCAAGAGAGGCATGTCTCAGTAATTAGACTTGCAGAATAAGCTTGTTTTTACTTTCCAATTAACAATCACAAAACAGCACACTAAATGCAATGTGACAAGAATCAAATGCTCTCATGAACAAATGTCTTTCACCACTTGAGCTCCACTTCTGAATGGGTGCTAAATCCATCATTTACTTTGATTCAGCAATTATATCAGTCATACTTCCAAATAACATCCCTGTTTACCACACAAGGACCAATCACAAAATACAGCAAGCTAATTTGCAGGCTTCAGGAGATGTGAAAAATCACACTGCAACAATCAGATCTCTTTCAGAACGTAAAGAATTCCTGCTTCTAATTATGTGTTGTCTGTATGGAATACTTTGACCCATACCTGCTCTATACTGGATGGATTCAGAATTGTCTCTGGCCTTTGGGTTGATAGTTTGTAGCAAGTGCTCTCTGTTTTAGTGGTTTCCAGGCTGTTATTCATTGCATTATCCTAAGATTTGGAGCTGAGCTGTATATAGGTTAACAGATTACAAACTACCTAACTGCAGCATTAAGACCACACTAGATGTTGCATATGATTAGACCCATGCATATTTTTAAAGGATGCAGGCAGCCATGAGAGTAGTTACAGCAGAGAAAATAGTGGAATTAGGATGGAGTAGATCAATTGTCTGCCCAGTGTGCCCTGCCCAACCTTTTCTCTCTATGGGGACAAAGATGGAGGCATATTATAGATAACAAAGTACTAGTGGTTTATAAGTGGAAAGATAGCACAAAGGTGAAAATTAAGCATATACCCCACCCACACATACTAGTTTCCTGGTGCCTTTTAGGGAGGGGTGGATAAGCCTTTCCCCTACCCTGTGTCAGTTCTGGGGGATGTCTTCAACCATAAATCCTTTTACTCTGATTTTGCAATAAATAGTGACTTTAATTTTTAACAGTTTTTTTCCATTTTAATGTATATTTGAAACATGTTTTCCCTCTAAAGACACATTTTTAAAATATATATATTTTTGAGCCAAGAACTATGTTGGAGGTTTTGTAAGTTGTGAAATCTGATAAATACCCAAGGTCTAATCCAGAATATGCAGTTTGATGTTCATATTGGCATGAACTGCCAATAGTATTCTTTTATGCAGGACTCCTTTTAAGAGTTAGAGTGTCATTATTTTAAGTCAAGAATGTGTTTTTAACTATCTGTCTTTCACATTATCTGCCTTCAAAACAAGTAGTATGTCAGACCTGAGGTGTGCATATGTCACAAGATGCTTTTCTTTCTCCAGCTCTGTCTTCAAGGGCTCTGCAGTCTGCGTGTATAGCATGGCTGACATCAGAGCAGTTTTCAATGGACATTATGCCCATAAAGAGAGTGCAGACCACCGTTGGGTTCAATATGATGGACGGATTCCATACCCCCGGCCTGGTACAGTAAGTGCCCCCCTTTCAAATTTGACTTTCCCTGTAAATGATTTCCTTCATTTTATTTGCCTGCATGAATAATACGTAGTTTCCTTCCAGGATTTTTAAAATTATCCCATCATTTCTTCCTCATGTTGACAGTCCAGGCTGCTGTCCACCATTTTTTGTAAACTGGCAGCTGTAAACTGAGATAGCAGTTGCCAGACTGCCCATTTCCTTGTTGTCTCTCAAACTCTGCTTTTCAGATCTTCGGCTGCAGTTCTGTGAGGAGGCAGAGATTATCTCAGAGGCATCAGCACCTCGTTCAATGGAATAACGTTTCCCTTTGTCAAGGGTTAAATTATGAGTGCACGTGTCTTAAATCTTCTGGTTCTGTTTTGCTTGAACTGTTTTATTTATGATAATTTCCTTCAATGTTGCCATTAGATTTAACCCCATAGTGGTATAAATTGTTTTAGAACATCTTACGTAAATAGAGTTTGACATTTTTTTAAGATACAAGAATGAATATGCGAATTACAGGAGAAAAAGAATTGTGCTCATTTTAAGGCATACTTCTAGCTTAGACTGTAAGTAATTGATGGCCTTTTCAATAACCTCGGTAGTAATTCCAATGCATAGTCCTAACTCAGGTAGGCCCATTAAATAGTGAGTCAACATATGTGTAATCTTGTTGATCCAATGAGTCTATTCTCATTGGAACTACCTTTTGGATTCCAATCTTAATCTGTAACCAGACATGGCTTATTTATGGGGTAGACCGTAGTAGACACATTGGGCCTCATGTCCAAGTAAGCATAAAGGATGTGTGAGTATGGATGTGCAAGTATTCATTTAGGGTTAGTGTTTGCACATGAAGGAGGGCTAGTGAGTCTCATGGGGGAGATGCTCTGAGGCATGCAGGAACATGTAGTCCCCAACCTTCTTATTGGGAAAGAAAGACTCTGTGGAGGGCTTAGGAGCACTGTCATTGCCTTTGCTGTCAGCTTCTCCCTTTTCCTGTGCCTCAGAGAAGATTCTGAACTCTTAGGAGGGTGTGGGGATGGAAGCGTGGCAGCATTTGATGAAAGTGGAGACCTTCTGCCTGTCGTCCTGCCAATGGGTAATCATTCCGAATCTCTTGCACTGGCAATATCCTCTCTTTGATTGTTTGTGACATCTCTCCCCATGGCAGAAAGCTCCTCAAAGATGCACAGGGAGAACTGTTCTGTTAGACTCTGCTTTTGGGTTAAACACACTGACTGGAAGTAAGTCCTACTGAAAGCACTGGGGTTTACTTGTAAACGAGCATGCTTAGAATCTCAGAATTGAAAGAACTATGGAACTGTAACTGAGAACCCATCTATACTGAGAATCTTTTCATCTTTCCTTGCACCCTTAATAACAGAATGGCAGCCAGGTGTCCACACAATGCAGGGCTAAAAACAATGGAAACAGCATCAAAGAAGGACCCAAAATATCCTGCCTTGCTTTTCATCACTGGATAATGGTTTATTTTGTTTTGCTTTGCCTCAGATAGTTCCAGGGTACCATCTGCTCATGCGGACCCTAGTGCCATGTTGTTGCATGATGATCCACACAGTTCACAAATGTCTGTCCCAGATTTCCTTATTCTGCTGGTCATTCTCCACCACACCATGCTTTAGTACCCCTTCTGTTTAGTTTTCTCTGAGTACCAGCTGTTCTTTCCTTTGGAAAAAGTACTGCTGAACTGACGTGATGAAACAGATTTATAGATGAAAACATGGAGGTCTGGGAGTGGCAAAATTAAAAGAGAGGAGAGTGAAGAAGACAGGCAAAAAGGGAGTGTGATGTCAGGGAGCAATTCTAGATGTGTGTGGATAGGGGGTGCTGTAGTCCTCCCACACATTCCCATACATCTAGCCATGAATACCTTCTCCATGGGTGAATGGAGAGGATATTGAGATGATCTATTCAACTATGCAGCAAAAAATATCACAACAATCCAGAGCAATCCCAGAATGACTAGCAATATTTTATGGATGAGCTCTGAGAACCAGGGTGGTTTACTGGATAGATTATAAGGCTAGGACTAAAGAAAACTGAGTTCACATCACTGCTTGGTCCCAAAAATTCACTGAGGTATTAGCAATGGTAGCATAGGCCTTGAATATTTCACATACGTTGAAAACCTTTTTAGGGTCCCATAGAGCAGAAGTGACTTGATAGCACATAACAACAAGGAACTGTCACTGCCCATGATAATGGAATTTTTCCCCTTTTGTGTTTCACAATGGTTACTGAGCAGATTGGTTTAACAGCTTTTTGTAGATGTCTAGCTCTAGCTCAGAAACACTGTAGTAAATCTCCAGTAGCATGACAAAAGCTGCTCCAATAGATGTGCGTATAAGCAGTGTGAAAGCCACCTATGGGACAGTATTTGTGACACCACTGATTCTTCTCCACTTGCCTTATAGTTTTGGATTGCTTTATTCTATGAAAGAATAGATGCGTATCCACATAGGCAATCATGCATGTATAGGGCATCCTGCCAACATCCTGAGAATAAGCACAGTTGGACTTCCGTGCTAGGTAGGAGTCAGTTTCATAGCTAACAATACTATTGGCATCATTGCTGAGATTGTGCTACCTGAGTCACATGGAAAGTGATTGTCTGTGCATTTCCTGTGTCAGAGATTATGCAGGTGCAACTGGTTACTAGTCAACGTTTGTAGAGTTTGGAAAGAAATTGAAACCAAAAGCTGTGAGAGTAATAGAACTATCAAGGGCAGAAAATTCTTTCTTCTATAAGGTTCTCAGGCATGTAACAGCATCTTATGTACAACAACTCAATGTGCTGTAAAATGTGTTTTCTTTCATTTCTAATTGCCAAAGATGCAGTTGACTTCCTTCAGGCATTTTAACGCTCTTACACAGAAGCAGGAGATTTTATGTTCTGTTCAGCTGTCTTTATCTCTGAAGTCAACAATGCTACGTATTGCATGTGTTATGCGGTGGCCAGATTACTTAGTGGAATGAGAAAACACCAGCATCTCTCTCCCATGCTGGCTGCCTTGCATTGTCTGCCCATTCATTTTCCGCATTGATTTCAAAGTGTTAATGATGACGTATAAAGCCCTAGACGGTTTAGGACCTCGATACCTAGCAGAATGCCTTCTCCCACCTAGATCTACTCGAGTCACTCGCTATAGCCAGGAAAGACGGCTGAGGGGCCTAACGCTGAGAGAGACCCAGAAAGAAAGAACAAGAAACTGGGCCTTCTTGGCAGTGGCCCCTTGGCTCTGGAACAGCTTGCCATCAGAGATCTGCCTGGCACCCTCGTTGGGTGTTTTTAAGAACCAATTAAAGACTTGGCTCTTTAGGAAGGCCTTCCTTCCTGTCAATACTTGACTCTTACTTTTACTTAGTCTTCTGTTCTATTTTCCATCTTGATCAATACTAACATTGTTGATTTAATTCATGGTTTTAATTGTTTTATGAATAATTTTATTGTGAGCCGCCCTGAGTAGACATAATCTAGAAGGGCGGGATAAAAATCTAATAAATAAAATAAATTATGAGAGATGAACTTGCCTTTCCTGTGACACTGTATGTGCCAGAGAGAAACCCCTGTATAAATAAAATAAATTAAGAGAAATGAACCTGCCTTGGACAAATTATTTCTTGCGACACTGTATGTGCCAGAGAGAAACCCCTGCTAACATGCCCCTGATACTGATTGCTTGGTGCCAAGGAACAAGTTGCTTGCTCCTGGCTGCTGTCTGAACATCCTTTGAGTGCCCTCTGGTGTTACTTTAAATGCTTTCCTTAATGAGAAAGTGTGGAATCAAGACAGTGTAACATCTGCCTGTTCTTTGGGCTGATTTTGAAGCAACCTGTTGGTTTTTAGTGCAAATGTTTCTTTTCCTCTTCACAGCTGAGCTCCAAAAATAAGAGGTTCTTGGGGTTCCCACCCACTAAAAAAGTAGTTGCACAAGTGAATGCACATTATATTGACTATTTGTATCAGTTGACTAGTTGTACAAATGGGAATGGGCATCCCATTGAAAGTAAAGTACTGCTGATGCATATTTCACTTTTATTTTGAGTTTTCTCCCTCTACACACCCTTGTGTAATAGCCAGTACAGTAGATCTATTTGCCAGCTAGGGTTCCCCTTAGTGGGAATGAGAAGTAAATCTGATAGAGCTGACTACCGTTAAAGTTCATGGTAATTGTTCATGTTGGAAATTTATTTTGAAAAAATTGTCAAGGCTGACACTAGACAGTTCTTGTTGTTGTTGTTGTTGTTGTTGTTATTGTTGTTGTTGTTGTTGTTGTTGTTGTTGTTGTTGTTGTTGCTGCTGCTGCTGCTGCTGCTGCTGCTGCTGCTGCTTATTATTATCCAGTCTGCACAGTGCAGTTATGTTGATTTACACCCATATCCTTGACTTGGGGAGGTTAGGAGAGGAGCCAGCAGGTGCAGTCCTCTTTTTCCTGCAGCCCTCCATATTCATTTCTGTAAGTCATGAACATCTGCCCAGAGTTTCCGGTTAACTCACGTGCAAGTATTCTGTTTTGATAGAATAATTCAGCACTGCTTCTTTCTCTCCCAGGCACTTCTCTTCATCCCCTTTGAGCCAGCAGGTGGAATAAATGACCATCCCAACATATCAGATGAGAAGAGAGAGGTGGGGAAAGGATACCGCCCACTCTCCTGCGTATTCGGTCTGGCTCTGCAGCAACTGCTAAAATGTTTTAAACATTATCATAGAACTTCCATCTTCCTTAAATATTTTGGGTTATTTCTGTGACAAATTTTTGTCATTGTTTATGGTCCTATGATAGGTTAGTGTGTTGTTTATTTTTCCAGTCAGATTTTTCCTTGATCTCTCTAGTTCACTGGCCAGTCCCTGTTAAACAAGTTGTGTAACTGTTTGTTTTGTTTTTGTTAAACAAACCTCCTTCTCTTCATCTACCCTGAATGTGTTCTGTGTTTTCTTTCCCTTTCTATATGAATCATCCTTGATGAAATAGCACGATTTTTTC